AGTCACAGATACTGTACGGACAATACAGCTCAGTTTATGTATCTTGCTCTGTTGAACGGCAAAAGTGACTTTACTAGGCTATACTGGATTTACACCATGCATCTCCTGTCAGCGGGAAAGCCACGCCCCCAGCTATCACAAGACCCCAGCAAGTCCATGGTTGACACCCTCTCATTAGCATGTTGTGCAGAGGAAAAATAAATGCGGAACTACATTCAGAAATAAATGAGTGATCAAAGGAAAATAAATAGGATGAGTTTAGCATTTCCTTAAACATTTTCCATTTGCCCACCAATTTATTTTATTTATTTGCCTACTTTAATCACGTTTAATTATTTCCATATGTATTTAAACAAGAATTTGTGTATTTATACACACATTTATTTATTTATTTGCATATTTATTTATTTATTTGTGTATTTATTTATTTATTGTTTTTGCAGGTTTGGCCCTCCATGGGATACAGATGAAGTAATAGATTGCAGTAATAGAAACGTAAAGGTTTGCTGGCTACTTGCCCATATGATTAAAGCAAATCTGATATGGTATTAAATCTATGGTATTACTTGCATGTTACTTTTTATAGGTTACAGATAAAATTAGTCATGAGCTAAAAGTTTCTTCTTCATAAATCATGTCCTCCTATCAAGAGTCCTTGTGCTCATGCTGATCCAATCAGTTTGCTGCTGCTGTAGGCAGTCGAAATAATATAGACAGTCACTAATTATTTAAGTGAAACCTTTGGTGTTAGTTGTAAATTGACCACTATTGCCAATTTGCCATATATTTTCAATTAAATTAAGGCTTGTAATGTGGCCTGGTTGCATTTGGCAGGTTTTTTAAACCTCCAATCAATTTATGTTGTACACTATTTGACATTTTGAGGCTACAGGTAAACGAGTGGGTATTTTCACAACGTTTGTATGTTTTGTTTTGGTGAAAGTACAGTATAATAACAGGTCTGACCTGTCAAGAGCTGAAGAGTTGAGGATCTGGTGTTGAGTGAGTCCATAATGGTGCGCCACATATAATTCAGGTTTTGTGACAGTGTTCTCTTCACCTTGGAGACAGTCATAGGAGATTTGATAATTATGCTCACTTTGACAACAAACATAGGCCAATTATACTATAAAAATACTTTACAACTTAACAGTACTGTAATGTTGTGGTAGTTTTTATTCAAGCCTTGAAAATCAAACAAGAGTAGTTGTAAACCTACCTAAATCAAACCCATACTGTAGAGTTTATTGGATAGCTGCTGAAACCACCTTATTTCAAACACTTTCTTTCTTAAATTGATAATTGAAGACATTCTCTTTGTTTGTGCTAATCTAGAAATAACATTGTAAAAGAGAGCACACCCGATGATGATGTCATTACTGCTTTTCTGTAGATGGCATCAGCACAGCATATAGCTCTACAGAGTGGAGTTCAGACTTGAAAAATATGTATGTATTTATTTATTTATTTACCAGAGAAGGCCAGTGCCCTGAGAGTTCTCCACTGTCTGTCAAGTAGGAGGGGCATTTTCATTTTCACTTATTTAAGTGTGGCAAACATTGTATTTGCACTTTCTTCTAAGTAGCTTTAAGAGGCATAGTCTCACCTACAGAACTTTGACTAGATGGCCAAATCTCTGGTCCACATTCTGGAAGGATGAATGTGTGGTACAGATTGCTTTAGCAGAAATGGAGCACACAGACTCTCTCTACTGGTCACAAGATGAACAACATGCTTGTCTTTACAGAATGAAAATTATGTTTTTTGTGGGCCATCTGAAGCCACTTTTGTGGAATTAGGCAGATTTCATATTAGTCAGAGAAATTATGTTTAGACAGAAGGTTTCACTAAATTGTATGCTCATTTCTTAACTTTCTTAATGCCATTTTACAATTTTATTAATTTTAGAGAGTTGAGTTTAATGTCATGCTAACATATGTATACACTGTATTTTAGGACATTTTTAGGACAGTTAGTTATCAGTGCTTTTATCTCGTCTCTGCAGGTGTTGGGCTTTGAAGCTGTAAATAAACTGGAGAGTTTCCTGTCTCCTGTAAGTCTCTCTCTCTATATATGTATACACTGTGTGTGTGTGCGTGTGTGTGTGTGTGTGTGTGTGTGTGAGAGAGTGTGTGTGTGTGAGTGTGTGTGTGAGTGTGCATGCGCTTCCCCTCAGTGAGGCGTCATGATGTGTGGGGAGGAGGAGTTCATCAGCACTGATGTACATATGCAGTATATGGAGAAAATCAGAAAAGCGTCCTCTGATTTGTGACTGAAGTTGTTTGATGATTTCCTCTGTTGTGTCTAATAAGGTAATAGCGAGTGTGATTGGAGAGTGTTGGGCCTCTTTCTCTCATTAAGAAGGCTGAGAGGATGCCTGTACTTCTGTATCATCAGTGCGGAGAAGCTTGAACTGGATGTTGAGTTAATCATGCTGAGGATGATGAGGAGATGCCTGACGTTCATTTTACTGTCTTCAGTTGTAATACTCATCACAGCTGGTAAGTACATAAGGATGATAATTTCAGAAAATTTCTCAAATGGTCAGAATATTATGTTCTTTTTATTTCTTAAAAGGGGTGAAAGTTGTTTATCTCTGACAGAAATGTTTTAGTTTGAATGAGTCCCATGAACATTTACCAAAGTAAAACTGTATTGCTCACTCATGATGCAGCAGCATAAACAATATATTATTGCATGTCGAGATCACAAGAAAATTTACGACAAAACAAGACAAAAAATGTTAACCTCTTACACAATACCATGTTTAATAGCTAGAGATATACAAGAGTAAAAAATAGAAATTATTTAAATAATAAATTATTTTTTTATTTTTAAAGAAAGGTATAGAGAAGATGATTTTGACACTTGAGTTTAAAGCTGAATGTGCCTTTAAATAGAAAAACTTTAGTTTCTCTTTAAACTCACTCTCTCATCCCTTCATCTTTCTCTCATTTGTTATTGCTCAACATTTAGTTCATGTAAATGTGAGGCTGGTTGGTGGTCACAGTCGCTGTGCTGGTAGAGTGGAGGTTCTTCATAGAGGTCAGTGGGGAACAGTATGTGGTGATTTTTGGGATTTGGTTGATGCTGCAGTGGTGTGTAGAGAGCTGGACTGCGGAGAACCAGTAGATGCCCTGGGTGCTACTCATTTTGGATCAGGTTCAGGACCAATCTGGATGAGTTATGTCATGTGTACTGGATCAGAGTCCACACTGAAGAACTGTGGGTCATTAGGATGGGGTAAAAGTAGATGTGATCATTCTAAAGATAATGGAGTCATCTGCTCAGGTAATATATTTTCCATATTATAATTCACATCTATGTAAGATTTTTGTGCTTCTATAGTACATTGGCCTTTAAAGAAGTCGATTTTAATTATTCAAATATTGACTTGAGAAAGATATATAAAATTCCATATTTGTGTTAATCTATGTTGTGTTTTTTTGTTTTTCAAAGGCTATAATTTTATTTTTCTATAAGCCATGATTTTTGTTCATTTTGGTTGTCTTAGAAGTCAGGCTGGTTGGAGGTTCTCACTGCTCTGGAAGGTTAGAGATCCTTCATGATCAGACGTGGATGTCAGTGTGTGCCGCTGCCTTTGACCAGCAGGATGCAGAGGTTGTGTGTAGAGAGCTGGACTGTGGGGCTCCTGTACAGGTGCTGGGAGCAGCTGCTTTTGGCAAAGGAGACACTCAGATGTGGACACAAGAGATTCAGTGCAGAGGAAATGAATCTCAGATTCACTCCTGCCCAACATCACTATCAGTCAACGGCAGCTGTTTTCATGAGCACACCATTGACTTACTGTGTTCTGGTAGGAATTCAAAATGCAACAGCACTTTTATTTAATTGTGATATATTTAAAATCTCCAATCACTTTTTCTATCGCTCTATTGTTTTCTCTCTCTTTCACATTCCTAGACATAAGGAATGTGAGGCTGGTTGGTGGTCACAGTCACTGTGCTGGCACGGTGGAGGTTCTTCATAGAGGTCAGTGGGGAACAGTGTGTGGTGCTGGTTGGGATTTGGCTGATGCTGCAGTGGTGTGTAGAGAGCTGGACTGTGGAGAACCTGTAGATGCTTTGTACGTTGCTCGTTTGGAACCTGGATCAGGACCGATCTCAATGAAAAATGTGGCGTGCACTGGCTCTGAGTCCACACTTAAGAAATGTGGATTGATCCAATCAAGTTATCCTGATGTGTGTCTTGATAAGAATGCTCATGTCATTTGTTCAGGTAAGCTAAAAACCCTGTCTTTATTATACAGAACAATTTCACCAAAAGTAGAATAATCATAATTTTATTTTCTGTAACCACCTCTGTGAACACACAGGCTGTCAGGTCAGTGTAAGAAAAACAAACTGTATGAAATTAACCCTTCAGTTTTATACCACCTTTTATCCTATTTCAGCTTGTTAATTTCTGTCCTTAATCCTCCTTATTTCCTCACTGCAACTGGGCTGGCCAAATTAGATGTTATTGACACGAAAATGTGAGCGGAGTGTTAATGACACTATGTATTCAGATTTCTGACATACAGTATAACCATACCAATGTGATATGAGCCATTTTAGCTTGCTTTCAGTGAAGGCCTTTTGGTGCTAGAGGAGGAGGTTTTGTTGATATTTATATGTTTTCATAGTACATTTCTTTTATTTCATTAGATCAAAGAAAATATGATTTATGATATATGATGCAGAATTTAAATTCCCTAATGTAAATGTTGTTTTTTCAGAAGTCAGGCTGGTTGGAGGTTCTCGCTCTTCTGGGAGGTTAGAGATACTTCGCAATCAGACCTGGGGTTTACAAGAGATTCATTGTACAGGAAATGAATCTCAGATTCACCTCTGTCCAATATCACCATCACATGAAAACAACTGTTCTCATGTTGGACTAGTGTGTGCAGGTTTGATCATTTTTCAAATAAACTAAAATCCAATTTAATGTCCCCAAACTGTAAATTAAATATTGAATTGTCGCAGTAGATTTTTTCCCTTTGTGTGGTGCTTTTTTCTCCATCATTTTTATACTTTGTCTATTTTTTTCCTCATCTGTCCCTATTTATTACATAGACATTATGAGAGTGAGGTTGGTTGGTGGTAACAGTCGCTGTGCTGGTCGAGTGGAGGTTCTTCATAGAGGTCATTGGGGAACAGTGTGTGACATTGGTTGGGATTTGGCTGATGCTGCAGTGGTGTGTAGAGAGCTGGACTGTGGAGAACCTGTAGATGCACTGGGTGATGCTCATTTTGGACCAGGATCAGGACCAATCTGGACAAATCGCTCAACATGTATTGGATCAGAGTCTACACTGAAGAACTGTGGGTCAGTAGAATGGGGTATTTATGAATGCGATCATACTAAAGATGCGGGAGTCATCTGCTCAGGTAAGCTGTTCCAAACCCTGCCCTGTGTTTACATCGGTAATAATCCTCCTGCTTTCATTTTTGTTCACCCAAAAATTTAATTTACTCACCCATATGTTTTTCCAAATCTATACGACTTAACATTGAACATTTCCGGTCTCTTACTACTTCAGGCATCAGGCTTACTAAAAACTCCAGTTGGTCTGGGAGGTTAGAGATCCTTCATAATCAGACGTGGGTGTCAGTGTGTGACGCTGCCTTTGACCAGCAGGATGCAGAGGTTGTGTGTAGAGAGCTGGACTGTGGGGCTCCTGTACAGGTGCTGGGAGCAGCTGCTTTTGACAAAGGAGACACTCAGATGTGGACACAAGAGATTCAGTGCAGAGGAAATGAATCTCAGATTCACCTCTGTCCAACATCACCATCACATGAAAACAACTGTTCAAATGACAACTACCAGGGGATGCTATGTGCTGGTAAGAGTTAAAATAATATAAGAATAATATTTATTAAGTATCTTACCTTTTACTCATAGTCTCTCTTCTCATTTAGATAAAAAAAATGTGAGGTTAGTTGGTGACAACAGTCGGTGTGCTGGTAGAGTGGAAGTGTTTCATAGAGGTCAGTGGGGAACAGTGTGTGATCTTGGCTGGGATATGCCTGATGCTGCAGTGGTGTGTAGAGAGCTGGACTGTGGAGAACCTGTAGATGCTCTGGGTGCTGCTCATTTTGGACAAGGATCAGGACCAATCTGGATGAGTCTTGTGTTATGTACTGGATCAGAGTCAACAGTGAAGAACTGTGGGTCATCAGGATGGAGCAAACACGACTGTACTCACAATTCTGATTCTGGAGTCATCTGTTCGGGTAAATCATTTAACTCGTTGTCCATGGACATAGTGACACAAATAATTATTGTGTTTTTTTCTGGAATTCTGCAATAAATTTTTGCATTGCTATGATGGTATTTATCTCTTTTTGTCTACTGTGCACTGTGGTTCATGTACGTAAAACAAACAGGTGATAAACCTTCCAGATTTGTTAATGGATCTCATCTGTGCGATGGGAGATTGAAAATAATGGATGATCAGACATGGATGTCAGTTTGTGATGCTGCCTTTGACCAGCAGGATGCAGAGGTTGTGTGTAGAGAGCTGGACTGTGGGGCTCCTGTACAGGTGCTGGGAGCTTCTGCTTTTGGCAAAGGAGACGCTCAGATGTGTACACAAGAGATTCAGTGCAGAGGAAATGAATCTCAGATTTCATTTTGTTCATTATCATCATCACACAAACACAACTGCAGCAGTGACAGCATTGTGGGACTGATCTGCTCTGGTTAAGTATCAATATTCAGGGTCTTTTTCATTTTTTTTCAATTAAGCATAATTTCTTTGTCAACTGGATTATGCTTTATTTATATTCTCTCTCTTCTTTATTTAGGTTACACTGATCTCAGACTAGAAAACGGTTCAGACTCTTGTTCTGGAAGAGTGGAGCTTCAGTTTCTCAATGAGTGGGGAACAGTGTGTGATGCATGCTGGGAAATGAGAGCTGCCAGTATCCTCTGTAAACAGCTGAATTGTGGGATTGCTGTGTCTGTTGTGGGATCAGACTGGTTTGGAGAGGGAATTGGTGAAATCTGGGCTGATGTGTTTGATTGTGACGGGAATGAAACAAAACTCTCAGAATGTTCCATCTCTTCATGGAGTCGAGCTGAATGTTCTCATAGACGAGATGTTGGAGTCGTCTGCTCTGGTGAGATGATTTTACTGAAAAATATGTTATAAATTACCATGCAATATCTTAATAAATTGCCACATCTTCTCCTTAGATTCCTCTCTGGCTCGTCATGATGGTCTGGTGCGGTTATCTGGAGAGAGACAGTGTGAGGGGGAGGTGGAAGTTTTCATCCATCAGGTCTGGAGGAGAGTTCTGCTGGACTCCTGGAGTCTCACTGAATCCTCTGTGGTCTGCAGACAGCTGGGCTGTGGCTCTGTGCTGAACTTCTACGGCTCCTCTTCATCCAGTCCTGAACACAGTCATGAGTGTGTGACGGGCTTCCAGTGCTCTGGGAGTGAAGCTCATCTGGGGAACTGCAGCTCTCCACAAACTCTCAACTGCAGCTCCACACAACAGCTGTCAATCACCTGCCTTGGTGAGAAAAACAACATCTGGACAGATTTTTCAGTCGTTCGTGACCATTAATGTGTTTTTCTTTCTCTGAATATCAGGTCGTGGGTCCATCAGGCTGGTGGGTTCTGGGGGAGACTGTGCAGGGAGGCTGGAGGTTTTTCACAGCGGCTCATGTGGGACAGTGTATGGAGGCTGGAGGTTTTTCACAGCGGCTCATGTGGGACAGTGTATGGAGGCTGGAGGTTTTTCACAGCGGCTCATGTGGGACAGTGTATGGAGGCTGGAGGTTTTTCACAGCGGCTCATGGGGGACAGTGTGTGATGACTCCTGGGATATTAAAGATGCCCATGTGGTGTGCAGACAGCTGCAGTGTGGAGTGGCCCTCAGTAACCAGCAGGTACCAGCCTGGTTTGGTCCTGGTTCTGGACCCATATGGCTGGATGAGGTGGAGTGTGAGGGGAATGAGACGTCCCTGTGGAGCTGCTCTTCTCCAGGCTGGGGAAAACATGACTGTCAACACAAGGAGGATGTAGGAGTCGTGTGCTCAGGTAAACAGCAAACGATAATATAAATAATAGTATTTCAATAACCCATATACAGTATGGCACTGATGGTTAGCAATATCCATTGAATTTGCATTGTACGTTAAGAACACTATTAATCAACTGAGAATTGATTCTTATTCAGATGCAGTTTCATCATCCATCAAAAATCAAATAAAAAAACAGAACTGATTCTGGTTCTGGCACATCAAATGTCCTGATGCGGATGGAATGCTGTACTACTTCCTTATTGGTGCTGCAGCACAACACTGCTGAACACAGCACGACCAGTCTAATTCCCAGATGACTCAAATGACTTGGTTCTTTTAGTGACGTAACCAGTGTCTGATTCCATAATGAATAAAAACATGAAGTTTACAACTGAGACTTAAATCAGTGTATTTAATGACTGGATGTTCATGTAACAAAGGAAAGCTAAAGATACACATTTTGCATTTGATCAATAGTTTTAATGACTGAAATATTTTTGCACATTTTTTGTTTAGCATTGATAATATATTCAAATTGCCTCTAAAAAGACTGGAATTGTTGAAATTATCTTAAAAGTTTTTATCATTAATTATATCATTATTTGGTAATGGAACTGCATTTATTTTTTTCCAAAATAAACACACACACACAAAAATAGTAATGGAGGAATTGTTAAATTCTTTTTTATTCCGATTCCTAATTAACAGACTGGAGGTTGATTCTCATGCTTTTGTATCTAGAGTTTAAGCAGATCAGGTTAACTGAGGGCTGTGAAGGGAATGTGGAGGTTTTCTACAATGGATCCTGGGGTAATGTGTGCTGGAACCAGATGGACAGAGACACAGCGAGTCTGATCTGTCAAGAACTGAACTGTGGAAGATCTGGCAGTGTACCCAAACATTCAGAGGGACTGAAGTCTCGTAACTGGCTTGATAAACTTAAATGTCGACGACATGACTCCACTTTATGGCAGTGTCCTTCTTCACCCTGGGGTCAAAACTACTGTAATAACGATGAAGTGGCAAAGATCACCTGCTCAGGTAAGATGATATTTAAACGATTTAAGATGGTTTGAAATTGTCATGTTTTGTATGTTTAAATATGATTATTTTATGTATTATTTATAAAGTAAAATGTCCTTGATTTGTGATGTTCACAAATTTAATTTTTTTGTAATCTCAGAGGAGGAAAGTCATGAGTCTCCGCGGAGTCATCTGACATGTGCTACCTCATCATCTCCTCACCAGAGACAGTGTACAAGTAAGGTTATTATATGTTTGTATTTTATAAATTATTTACATATGTGCACTTTTTATTTTTATTTCATTAACCCTCTATGGGATATCGTCATTTATAAATGCCACTAAGAAAATTGCATTTAAAGGCACAATATGTAATTTTCGCCGCTGGAGGGCGTGCATTCAAAATAAACAAAGAGACAAAGGCATAGTTTGATGACGCCGTGACTGAGTGTGGAATCATGGGAGTTGTCGTCTTCATCCCCACAGCCGATGCAATCCGACGGGACTCGGGCAGAAATCATGTTCATGGATGAGCTAATGATTTATTAACGTAGTAGAATGAAGCAGGGTGAGGCTGAAAGCCGTCGAAGCGAAACGAGGCCGCTGAACGAGCGTGACACACGGCTCGAAAGCAGCAGAGCTTTTATTATGCCACAGTCGACTGCTTCCGCTCCTTCCGGTCGTGCGTATGTGGGGGAAAAAAAGCAGCGCTGTTTTATCATACTAGATACATTTGAAAGTTCTGTTATTATGCTACTCTGTGCGGTCGTCACCGGTCTATTAAAACGCACAACATATTAAAGCGTCTTTGGTGTTTCCATGTTTTCTACAAAACTAAACCGGAAATCGAGGGTGTATGACATCATTGGCAGGCGTCACAATGACACTATGGACACGGTCCGTGTCACTAGTTAAAATTGCTTATTTCTCTGGATTTAAACATTGAAACATTTGGATAATGCAAGTACACAAGTCAGCAAAATATATAACACTGTTCTAGTTGTTTTGGGATATTTTAATTTAAAAAATCTTACATATTGTGCCTTTAAATGTAATTTACAAATAATGTAATGCCATTAAATATGAAGGGTCTGTAAAATCGGTGTTCTTTTATTATGGATTATAATAAATAAATAACCGGAACATCCCCTTCAACCAGTAAAATTTAAATTTATTAGCCATGTGCTTCAAATTTTTGGTAAATAAGTAGTAAAGGAGACATTAGTACATGTTAGGTCACATGCTCTCAAGGCTCCATAGTGAGCTCATTTTAGACTAGAAAATGCATATAAATTCAAGTTATAAAAAATATAATTGTACATCCAAATGTGTTTTCTAACATTTTTTTGTTATTTTTAATGCACTTTTATAAAAACAACACCTCAGAGACCAACAAATCTGAGCGTCATGCATAACTGACAAAGTCCTATAATGTGATGCATATTTTGTGTAGCTGGCACTATTGACCAGCATTGGCGGGCAGTATAATAGCCTTTATGCATGTGTTTTAGGTTCATTTTTATAAGATTTTTGGAAGATGGAGAGACAAATCTGTACTTATTTCATAAAGTATTGATGATAGTGATATGAGTGCATCAGAAAATCAGGTTGTAGTAATAAAACAAGTTGTTGAGGACCAAGGAGGATAGAAGCAATGCGGGTGAGGGCAGTGATGAAGAATAGGTTGTCGTGGAAGTCAGGCATTTGGGTACATTATTTTATGCCAGTTTGAAAGATGTGATCCATACAACAACCAGAGGACAGGAAAGATGCCAATGTCTATTGGCATTACTATACTGACAGACAGCGATGCTCCAATGATGACTGTTCAAGTCAACATCTACTTATGTGTGGGTTGTGGGTACACTGAAAAAGAAGAGTCTTGTTGACTTTCACTTGTGCTACGATAATTGATTTGAAATTCCAAGATAAAACACAATGTGTTTTACCCTAATGGGACAAAGTCAGTTATAAATGATGGATCCCTAAAAAAAAGGTCAAAGGTCAGATGAAGAAAACAAATTTTGGAAAATGATTTTACTCCTAAATATATATAAAATATAAAGTCAATTATTTTTTACGCTGTAAATTCATAATTACTCCTATAGAGGGCTAAATTAAACAGATTTAAACAGTTAGAAAACAGGTTGTATCCTTATTGTTGTAAATGTTGTGCTGAAGCTGGTCAGTGATTTTTGATGTGTGTGTTTTAGATCATGTTCCTCTCAGACTGAGTGGAGGGGAGGGCCGGTGCTCTGGGAGGCTGGAGGTGTATCATAACGCTGTGTGGGGCTCAGTCTGTGATGATCAGTGGGACATCAGCGATGCTCAGGTGGTCTGCAGGCAGCTGGGTTGTGGAGCAGCACTGAGGGCTGATGGGAATTCAGTCTTTGGTGCTGGTGAAGGTGTTGTGTGGCTGAACAGAGTCGAGTGCAGAGGGAATGAGATTCACCTGTGGGACTGTACTCTCTCCCTGAATAACCAAACTGACTGCTCCCACAAAGAGCACGCTGGACTCACCTGTGCAGGTCACAACAAAACACTGACAAATATTAATAATTTGAACATTTTATAGCTAAACTTGTGTTTTCAAGACAATCATGATGTTAATGTGCGTGTGTTGCCAGATTTGTCAGATTTGTCAGTGTCCACTACTCCTGCCTCAACAACATCAGCTTCTCCTCCAGTTTCTCCTCCAGTGCGCTCAACATCAGTCGCTCCTCCACAAACTCCTCCAGCAGCGTCTCTCTCCGTCCCCCCAGTGCTTGTGATTGTACTGGGAGTTGTGCTCTTACTGCTCTTAGTGCCACTGCTTATACTGATTCAGCAGAACAGAGTGATGAGGAGAGGTAGGAGAGATCCAGAGACTGTCATATTGTGTCTTATTCAGTGTGTGATCAGTCATGTGTTGTGAACTGAGAGCAGGTTTGTCTGTCTACACTCACAGCTCTCTCTAAGAGGAGACACAGGATGATGACTGAGGCCGTTTATGAGGAGATTCAGCACAGACCCACTAATAGACACAGTCTCTTCACTCAAAGGGGTGAGTAAGTGTCATAGTGTCAGAATTGTGGAGATCCACATGGTAATCTCTTTATTCAGAGGGTGAGTGGGGGGGGCTGAATTGTGATTGTAAACTTGTTTCTGATTGTTCTATTACTTCATAACAGGAAGTGTTGTTTCTACCGAACAGCAATCTGGGTATGAAGATGCTGATGAGCTTCTTTCAGGTTAGAGGACTGAAATATAATAATGTTATCCTTTACATACAGAAATGTATGTATGTTAAATTAATTAAAAACATCCATCTTAGCAGAGTTTAAATTCTATAAATCATTCAGTACATAATTTAGATAAGGTTTTATTAATATTATTATTATCATTATTATAATTATCAATAATAATAATAATAATAATAATAATAATACATGTATGTATTTTCTTTTTCAAAGCAAAACCTGCAGTAGAAGTGAAAACTGACTACTATAATGACACCACCATTAAAGGTCCAACAGGTCAGTGATTTTGTTAACTGATTGCAGGAATTCACTTAATTTAATTTCCAATTTGGCCTATAAATTAGTTTCTGTTTATTCCTGTTAAATAATTTCGTAAATAGAGCAACAAATCACACCAGAGAATTATGATGATGTAATCAATGCTGAACGGAGACATCATGCTATGGGTTTATATCTTTATATTATTTTTGACTCTTTATATTAATATACATTTTATTATACATATATACGGTTTCAAAATCCAAAATTTTGTACATTAATGGATGCATTTCATTTGTCTTTATTTTGTTGTATAGATGACTTACCAGAAAACTATGATGATGTCGTTATTGTACCACAGTTCTGCAATGATAAAGCAGGTGTGGGTTTTGAATTATACATTTCTACATGAGAACGTTTTTTTTTCCCCTTCTTATTTTTGCTTCAAATGATAGTGGCATGCAAAGTGAAGACTGTTTTTTTTAATGTTATTAATAGTAGCCACATTTATATCAGAAGGTGTTCAGGAGGAGTATGATGATGTGAAGAATGTCAGGGAATATATGAGTGACATGTTTGGTACGTTATTAACACCTTTTGTTACTGAATAATTTTGGTTTGGTTTTTATATTAGCTTTATATTATCAGTTTCTCTTATTCTATCCATTTCTGATGTCACAATAGCTCATTTAAACTGACTGAAACATTGTGTTCATTATACTTTTTAAAGCATGCTGATACATGAATTTTCTCTTGTTTTCTAATAACAGACTATGATGATGTGGAGGAGGATCCAGTAAAACGGGGATGGACTGAATAACGTAAACCACACCCACTGCCTCAAAGCAGCGTTTTAAGTGGCCTGCAGAGTTTAAGTGTTTAAGATCTATATACTGCAATCCACCAATGTTCTGTCACATTGTGTATCAAAATCTTCTAAATCAGTTGCAATTTCTGAGAGAAAAAAATGCTTTGCTTTCATGGCCTTTTCAAAATGTATTGCATTTTACATTGATACATTTCTGTCATGTAGCCTTAGAAATTTGCGAGGACAAAAAACACATTTTCATTCAGTCATTTTGTATATAATTGTGATGAGTTCAGAATCTTTGCCTTTAAGTTGCCACCACCCCAATCTGTAACAGTTCACAGCACCTTCAACTTATGAAAATGTTACTTTCAAATGTAGACCCAATGCTGGTGGACTTTTATATTTTGCTAAAAGTCGTTGGAATCTACTTAGGGTATAGTCTACTTTTACAAACATCAGCTCTGAGCAATTATCGAAAAATAATGTTGTTCACTTTATGTCCTGCAGAGAGGGTTTCTGTCAGTCACAAACACATGACATGCACTCTGAGCTGAAAAACTAATAGTTTACAATAGAGCTTTTTTAAAACAGAGACCCTGTTTGTTTCATATATTTGTTTTAGCTTCGCTTCCTATTCGATTGTTTTGAATAGATGTCCATGTTTTCTATTAAAGAGTTAAAATCAGACTGACTATGTGCATGGATTTTAAAAAATAATCTTATTTCAATATGGGTACACAAAAAGCAAACGTTCAGTATAATTCTGTGAAATAATGTGTTTTGTTTTTCACAAACTGTCCTATGTGTCCTATAGTGCTATGTCTCTCTTTCTTAGCATATAACACCCAGTGCTCCTCAAGCCAGGGCCGTTGTCAGTGTTTGTCATCAGCAGTTAGTTATCAGTGCTTGTATCTCTTCTCTGCAGGTGTCAGACTTTGATGCTGAATGTACACTTAAGTGTTTCCCACAATCAGTCTCATGACAGCTGGGGGACTTTGTCAGCACTTTAACTTCTGCAGCTTTTCTGTCTCTCTGTGAGGTGGAGGAGGAGTCCTGTTCATCAGTATTGATGTTCTCTTGATGTATATAAAGAAAGCTGAAAATTCTTCTGTCTGAAGAGAAGTTTGTCACTGAAGCTGTTAGGTGATTTTGTCTGTTAACTCTTGAAAGTTCACCCTGAATGAGACAAGAAGTCTCTTTTTCTTCATAATCACTGAGAGCTGATGAGAAGTGGTAGAGCAGAGGAAGAGGAAGATGAAGATCTGTCTGACAGTCCTCTTAATGTCCACAGTCGTCACACTCAACACTGCAGGTCGGTGAATCTTCAGTTAAGGGCCAAAGAGTTTCTGGGAAAATAATTAACCTAAGTAGGGTTCAGTGTTTAACTTACAGATTTCTTACTGGTGTTATATATTTATTTATTTACTTACGTACTTGCTTACTTACTTACTTCTTTAAGCTCTGCTTTATTAGGTTTAGTTTGTTTTTACTTCACTGTAGCCTATCATGGGGCAAGGGGTTTTGTGTTATAGTTTCTGCTCTGCACTGTAAAACATTATTGTGGTTTTAACAGTAAAAGACTGTAAAAATGCTACAGTAAAAACCTGTTAACTGGTTAACAGTAAGTTTCCATACTATATTCGATGAATAAATGTAATTACATTTAATGTAATTTTACAGTAAAATACTAGAAAATAAAAGAAAAAGTCATTGTATAATTTACAGTGACAAACCGTAAATTGACACTCCCAGAATTCCCTGCATGATACTTCATTTTTTTATGTTTTTTTTTTGTTGAAATAACATGTTTCTTTTTTTTTCTTATCAGTTGTTTACATTAGGGTTTAATCTTACATCTAATGTTGTTAAATTAATGTTTATTGCATTATTTCAGTATCAAGTGTGTCACCATGATGGGGTTTAGTGTTTGTGTGAATGACACTGTGCACCTTCTATATATAAGTATTGCCCTTCTCAGCTCATAGAAAAGCTGTATGTGATGAGCTTTGGTTCATCATGTGACTTTCTCATCACCACCAGTTTTTGGTGGTTATCAGTGCATTAGAATGGTTCAAAACAGATATTAACACTTCAATATGTTGGTTTACGAACATTACATCAGTTAATGAAATACGGTATTTTATTGTGAATTTAAGTCTGTAAAACCTAAAATGTTGCTACCATATTTTTTACAGTGAAGTTCTGGCAACCACAGCTGCCGGTATTTTACCGTAAATGTCACAGATTTTTTTTTACAGTGTGTACTTACACTTTGTATTGGATAAATTACTCAAAACAGCTGTTCACAAAAGAAAGAAAGAAGTCATATTTTAGGTGCTGCTTTTACAATTTTATTTAATCAGAAAAACTTTTTCAATTATTATTTTTTTTTACATTTGGTCCCACTTCATTTATCAGGTAATTTGAGAGCATGAATTACCTGTGAATGTTTATGCAAAAGACGCTCATGTCTATTGTGTACAGGCAACGTGAGGTTGGTTGGTGGTAACAGTCCCTGTGCTGGTAGAGTGGAGGTTCATCATGATGGTCAGTGGGGAACAGTTTGTGATGATGGCTGGGATACTAAAGCTGCTGGACTGGTGTGTAAAGAGCTGAACTGTGGTAGAGCATTACGTGCAGTTGGTGTTGCTCACTTTGGACAAGGATCAGGACCAATCTGGATGGATGAAGTGAAGTGTACTGGATCAGAGTCAACACTGAAGGACTGTACATCAGAAGGATGGGGTAAAAATAACTGTAATCATGATGAAGATGCTGGAGTTATCTGTTTAGGTAAGACTGCAAATGTTTTGATAGAGAGAGAAAAAAACTGCACAGAATTGTTGTCCTTATCTTAATAATTAAATAGTTATGTTGATATGTATTTATATCATGTAAACACACAGGTCGCCTCGCCAGACTCGTTAATGGTTCTCATCTTTGTGCTGGGAGGTTAGAGATACTTCAAATAAAGACGTGGTTGTCAGTGTGTGACGCTGCCTTTGACCAGCTGGATGCAGAGGTTGTGTGTAGAGAGCTGGACTGTGGGGCTCCTGTACAGGTGCTGGGAGCAGCTACTTTTGGCAAAGGATGCACTCCGATGTGGAAACACGAGATTCAGTGCAGAGGAAATGAATCATACTTTGAATTCTGTTCTACATCCAGCTCTTCACATGAACACTGTTCCCATGAAAATGCTGTAGGAGTAATATGCTCTGGTTGAGTAAAATTTGACCTCTCTTTACATGTAATATATACAGAAAAAAATCCATTCTCTTTTCCAAAGTAGGTTAAGTCTTCTTAAACTTTTATGATTTGTTTTTGTTTCAATAACCTTTGTCCAGGTTACACTGATCTCAGACTGGTGAACGGTTCAGACTCTTGTTCTGGAAGAGTGGAGCTTCGGCTCATCAATGAATGGGGCACAGTGTGTGATGCATGCTGGGATATGAGAGCTGCCAGTGTCCTCTGTAGACAGCTGAATTGTGGGATTGCTGTGTCTGTTGTGGGATCAGACAGGTTTGGAGAGGGAAGTGGTGAAATCTGGGCTGATGTTTTTGATTGTGATGGGAATGAAACAAAACTCTCAGAATGTTCCATCTCTTCATGGAGTCGAGCTGAATGTTCTCATAGACGAGATGTTGGAGTCATCTGCTCTGGTAAACTTATTTGACACTGAGACTATTATACTACCAATAAACTCTCTATATTATGTATAATGAAGACTATCTCATTATGTTCTAACACAATTCTTATTTGACTAAAACATGAGATCTTTTCAGGTTCCCCTCTGGCTCTTCATGATGGTCTGGTGCGGTTGTCTGGAGAGAGACAGTGTGAGGGGGAGGTGGAAGTTTTCATCCATCAGGTCTGGAGGAGAGTTCTGCTGGACTCCTGGAGTCTCACTGAATCCTCTGTGGTCTGCAGACAGCTGGGCTGTGGCTCTGTGCTGAACTTCTACGGCTCCTCTTCATCCAGTCCTGAACACAGTCATGAGTGTGTGACGGGCTTCCAGTGCTCTGGGAGTGAAGCTCATCTGGGGAACTGCAGCTCTCCACAAACTCTCAACTGCAGCTCCACACAACAGCTGTCAATCACCTGCCTTGGTGAGAACAACAACATCTGGGCAGATATTTTTTAGAAGTTAGAGATGAATAATGTGTTTTACTTTCTCTGAATATCAGGTCGCGGGTCCATCAGGCTGGTGGGTTCTGGCGGAGACTGTGCAGGGAGGCTGGAGGTTTTTCACAGCGGCTCATGGGGGACAGTGTGTGATGACTCCTGGGATATTAAAGATGCTCATGTGGTGTGCAGACAGCTGCAGTGTGGAGTGGCCCTCAGTAACCAGCAGGTACCAGCCTGGTTTGGTCCTGGTTCTGGACCCATATGGCTGGATGAGGTGGAGTGTGAGGGGAATGAGACGTCCCTGTGGAGCTGCTCTTCTCCAGGCTGGGGAAAACATGACTGTCAACACAAGGAGGATGTAGGAGTCGTGTGCTCAGGTAAAGTCTCACACATTTTAGTAAGAATAATTGCCAAGCAGCTGCTACTTTCAATATCCAAAAAGAAAATATTAAGTTTCTCAGATTTAGATTCAAATAATTTTCAGTTTATTAGTTTTACAAAATAAATAATGAAAATAAAAATAACTGAATTGAATGCAATATCTTTTATCTAGAGTTTAAAGAGATCAGGTTAACTGAAGGCTGTGAAGGGAATGTAGAGGTTTTCTACAATGGATCCTGGGGAAATGTGTGTTTAAACCAGATGGACAGAGACACAGCGAGTCTGATCTGTCAAGAGCTGAACTGTGGAAGATCTGGCAGTGAACCCAGTTATTCAGTGGGACTAAGATCTGCTCCTAATTGGTTAGATCATCTTAAATGTCGAAAACATGACAAAACTTTGTGGCAGTGTCCATCTTTACCCTGGGGCCAGAACAACTGTTATGATAATGAGGTGGCCAGTATCACTTGCTTTGGTAAGAATTAATTGAATGAATTTTTATTTGTATTTTTTTTACCGTAAACCAAAATCATGAATACTTTAGTGTTTGTTATTTAGTTTTCATAAAAGTTTAGTTTCCATCTAAATCAGAGGTTTGTTGAGTCTTGCATGCCATAATCACAGAGAAAGAGAGTCCTGAGTCTCCACAGAGTCGTCTGACATGTTCAGCATCTCCTCACCAGAGACAGTGTTCAAGTGAGTAGGTTTTGTTTTAGTAATGAGAGCAATAATAAATTAATGCCTAATAGCTTTTTCTTCACTATATGCAGTGCCTTGCGAAAGTATTCATACCCCTTCATTTTTTTTTTCATTTTGTTATGTTGCTGCCTTATGATAAACTTCTTTAAATTACTTTTTTTCCACATCAATCTACACTCCATACACCATACTGACAAAGCAAAAACAGAATTGTCACAACTTCGTAAATGTATTAAAAATAAAAAACTGAAATAAGTACATTGCATAAGTATTCATACCCTTAACTAAATATTTAGCTGAAGCACCTTAACAGCCTCGTCTTTTTTTGTTTGATGCAACAAGCTTTTCTCATCAGCATTTTGCAATTATCTGCCATTCTTCACCTCACCTGTTCACCTCTCTTGAGCTCTACAGGCAATTGTTTTGACCTCAGGGCTTGGTTTTTGCTCTGATATGCATTATCAGCTGCCTTTCCAAATCATACCCATTCAATTGAATTTGCCACAGGTTAACTTCGCTTGAAGTGTAGTAATATCTACAAGCAAAATGAATGCTCCTGAGCTAAATTTAATCTGTCCCAGATATGAATGAATACTTATGCAATGGAATCATTTTAGTTTTTTATTTTTAATACATTTGCAAAGATGTTAAAACAAACAAAGATTTTTTTTTGCTTGACAATTGTGGTGTATGGAGTGTAGATTGTTGTGGAAAAAAACTAATTTAAACCAGTTTAACATAAGGCAGCAACAAAACAAAATGTGAAAAAAATGAAGGGGTATGAATACATTCGCAAGGCACTGTAGTTGTGAATTGTCTAGCTGGTAAGTGATAACTGATGAGTCTTCTCATGTATGATATGTGTGTTTTAGAGCATCTTCCTCTCAGACTGAGTGGAGGGGATGGCCGGTGCTCTGGGAGGCTGGAGGTGTATCATAACGCTGTGTGGGGCTCAGTCTGTGATGATCAGTGGGACATCAGCGATGCTCAGGTGGTCTGCAGGCAGCTGGGTTGTGGAGCAGCACTGAGGGCTGATGGGAATTCAGTCTTTGGTGCTGGTGAAGGTGTTGTGTGGCTGAACAGAGTCGAGTGCAGAGGGAATGAGATTCACCTGTGGGACTGTCCTCTCTCCCTGAAAAACCACACTGACTGCTCCCACAAAGAGCACGCTGGACTCACCTGTGCAGGTCACAGCAAAATACGAACAAATAATATTAATTTTAGATCATTTTAAGACAATCATGATTTTGAATGTGTTTGTGTATTTGACAGATTTTACAGATGTGTCAGTGTCTAACCACACTGACTGCTCCCGCAAAGAGCACACTGGACTCACCTGTGCAGGTCACAGCAAACACTGAGGAATAATATTACTCTTTAGATCATTTTATGTATTCATAATTTTGAATGTGTTTGTGTCTGTTTTGCCAGATGTGTCAGTGTCCACTATTCCTGCCACAACAACATCAGCTTCTCCTCCAGTTTCTCCTCCAGTGCGCTCAACATCAGTCGCTCCTCCACAAACTCCTCCAGCAGTGTCTCTCTCCATCCCCCCAGTGCTTGTGATTGTACTGGGAGTTGTGCTCTTACTGCTCTTAGTGCCACTGCTTATACTGATTCAGCAGAACAGAGTGATGAGGAGAGGTAGGAGAGATCCAGAGACTGTCATATTGTGTCTTATTCAGTGTGTGATCAGTCATGTGTTGTGAACTGACAGCAGGTTTGTCTGTCTACACTCACAGCTCTCTCTAAGAGGAGACACAGGATGACGAACGACGACTGTTATGAGGAGATTCAGCACAGACACAATCACTTCACTCAGAGGGGTGAGGCTTCTGAAATCTGAAATGTTATTATTAATATGAAAACATTTTATACTGTTGTTGTGAATAGTCAAAATGATGAATTTATAGTTGAAAGTTTTTTGTTTTTTTTACTATGCTGACATGTCTAATGATTCTACATGTCTTTTTTGATCGTTAGAGTTAAAGCTATGTTAATCCTGTTATGCTTCCTGCTTTTAACCACAGAATTCAGCAGTGAAAACCACATCGCTGTGTTTGTGTAAAAACGTGTTTGTGCAAGCTGCAGTCAGGGTGAAAAATGTGTCTGCAGTCAGTGTGAGAGCACACAGGTGTTAGTCTGAGGGGGAGGTTTGAACAAGTGTAGCAAGTGTAGATATTGTTTCTGAACTCTCTTATTAAAGGAAAAGTTCACCCAAAATTAAAATACTCACCCTCAGGCTATCCAAGATGTAGATGAGTTTGTTTCTTCATTGGAAAAGATTTGGAGAAATTTAGCATGAGATCATTTGCTCACCAAATGGATCCTCTGCAGTGAATGGGTGCTGTCAGAATAAGAGTCCAAACAGCTGATAAACATATCACAATAAACCACAAGTAATCCACACTACTCCAGTCCATTAGTTGTGGAAAAACTGTGTTTGTAAGAAACAAATCCATCATGGTGTTTTAACTTTAAACTGTTGCTTCCGACTGAAACACAAGTTAATAATACATAACATTTACTCCATTGAAAAGTCCATCCACTGCACATCAAAATTCACCACTATATTTGTTTAGAATTGTTTTAATGGACGTTTCTTAGAGTCTATGATTTATTGGTTTTCATTTATACAGACAAAATGGACCAAGAGGCTCCAGAAGAATATGTCAACACTGATAGACTGAATTGTGAGAATTTTCCATGCTAAAATTATCATTCCGAAAATAAATATGAAGTAGAAGAGCAAATATAACTTAATTCTAGTTTAGAGAGAGTGATATTGTCTCTGTATTTTGTCACAGATTGCACAAATGAGACCTATGATGATGCCACAACCATGAGAAAAGGTGATTTTTATAGTCTATTTTTTTTAATGTGTGTTTTGGCATGACACATATTTGCATCATATGTATTTGCTCTACATCTTAAGGGGGAAACAATGAAGAACTATAATGATATTATGATCGCAAAATTTACAGACTAATCTTCTCTCCTTTTTTGTAACAACAGAGTATGGAGAAGAGGAGCCAATTGAAGATGAAAAGAGTGTGTGATCAACTACTGCTTCTGCTGTTTCTTCTTATAATTGTTGTTGTTGTTGTTATTTGCCAGCTGGTGCTTTTTAATATCAGGTAATCAACAAAATCGACATGTTTTGTATTAATCTGCTTAAAAATTATATATATTTCTTTCTAACCCATTTTCATACAACCGTGAGCAGAAGACAGGCAGAAATGTAAAGCTGTCTCATTATTGTCTTATTCTCATTTCTTTATATTGCTTGTTCTGATCTAATGTCGAATTACTTTAATAGGTAAAGTTTATCACATATTACTTTAGCAACGGTGTCATATTTTGAGTATTTTCCATTTCCAGTGGCGAAGGGTTCGGTTCATTCCTCCAGGAAGCCCACTTTACACTGGTGCCGAATGTTAGCGGTCGCTGTCCAAGGTGCTGGTTGAGTGTCCACACTGTAGTTCAGCTCATTTCCGTTGCCGTGTCATGAAAATAAGTGACCACCAAAAACAAGAAAGCCAGAAAATATGTTTAGCTTGATGTAATAGTATAAATAGCTACATCCCATAAAATACATTCGAACTGCCATAATTAACATGATTAATTTAATCCAATATTTACTTGTGCGTAGTCCCACGAATGAAACCATTTATATCAATAAATCAAAATTACTGCCTCTCTCTGATCATGTTCTGTTATTTGTACAGTACAGTAGGCTACAGTAAATACACAACCACACGTATGACCCCTTGCATAGATGGTCTAATATTCCTTTTCGTCTTCTCTTTACTGCCATCTTCTGGATTGAACAGACAGCTTATCATTCCTGCAATTAAATTGTTAAATGATAATTGATTAAAACATTTTTGTGTGTGTCCATGATTGAGCTTCCTTTATCCTTTTTTTCACATAGCTAATGATATTTACCCGCAAATTTCAAAAGTTACGATCAATAGGGTACAGCAATAGGGTGATCAAAATGATTGCGTTCCCTTTAAATCCTGATACGTATGGGCGTTTGATCGGCGCGCACGCGCTCGCTGCGGCGTATTTGATTGTTTGCAGACTTTCTAACGAAGAACAGCGGAAAACGTTAACTGTTTAACAATCACTTCACTCAGAGGGGTGAGGCTTCTGAAATGATCACCTTTATTTTTAATATGAAAACTTTTTTTACTGTAGTTGTGAATAGTTAAAATTATGAATTTATAGTTGAAAATATTAAATGTTTTACTATGCTGACATGTCTAATGATTCTACATGTCTTTTTTGACAGTTAAAGTTAAAGATATGTTAATCCTGTTAGGCTTCCTGCTTTTAACCACAGAATTCATCAGTGAAAACCACATTGCTGCGTTTGTGTAAAAATGTGTTTGCGCAAGCTGCAGTCAGTGTGAGAGCACACAGGTGTTAGTCTGAGGGGGAGGTTTGAACAAGTGTAGATATCCAAATCAGTGTTTCTGAACTCTCTTATTAAAGGAAAAGTTCACCCAAAATGAAAATACTCACCCTCAGGCTATCCAAGATGTAGATGAGTTTGTTTCTTCATTGGAAAAGATTTGGAGAAATTTAGCATGAGATCATTTGCTCACCAAATGGATCCTCTGCAGTGAATGGGTGCTGTCAGAATAAGAGTCCAAACAGCTGATAAACATATCACAATAAACCACAAGTAATCCACACTACTCCAGTCCATTAGTTGTGGAAAAACTGTGTTTGTAAGAAACAAATCCATCATGGTGTTTTAACTTTAAACTGTTGCTTCCGACTGAAACACAAGTTAATAATACATAACATTTACTCCATTGAAAAGTCCATCCACTGCACATCAAAATTCACCACTATATTTGTTTAGAATTGTTTTAATGGACGTTTCTTAGAGTCTATGATTTATTGGTTTTCATTTATACAGACAAAATGGACCAAGAGGCTCCAGAAGAATATGTCAACACTGATAGACTGAATTGTGAGAATTTTCCATGCTAAAATTATCATTCCGAAAATAAATATGAAGTAGAAGAGCAAATATAACTTAATTCTAGTTTAGAGAGAGTGATATTGTCTCTGTATTTTGTCACAGATTGCACAAATGAGACCTATGATGATGCCACAACCATGAGAAAAGGTGATTTTTATAGTCTATTTTTTTTAATGTGTGTTTTGGCATGACACATATTTGCATCATATGTATTTGCTCTACATCTTAAGGGGGAAACAATGAAGAACTATAATGATATTATGATCGCAAAATTTACAGACTAATCTTCTCTCCTTTTTTGTAACAACAGAGTATGGAGAAGAGGAGCCAATTGAAGATGAAAAGAGTGTGTGATCAACTACTGCTTCTGCTGTTTCTTCTTATAATTGTTGTTGTTGTTGTTATTTGCCAGCTGGTGCTTTTTAATATCAGGTAATCAACAAAATCGACATGTTTTGTATTAATCTGCTTAAAAATTATATATATTTCTTTCTAACCCATTTTCATACAACCGTGAGCAGAAGACAGGCAGAAATGTAAAGCTGTCTCATTATTGTCTTATTCTCATTTCTTTATATTGCTTGTTCTGATCTAATGTCGAATTACTTTAATAGGTAAAGTTTATCACATATTACTTTAGCAACGGTGTCATATTTTGAGTATTTTCCATTTCCAGTGGCGAAGGGTTCGGTTCATTCCTCCAGGAAGCCCACTTTACACTGGTGCCGAATGTTAGCGGTCGCTGTCCAAGGTGCTGGTTGAGTGTCCACACTGTAGTTCAGCTCATTTCCGTTGCCGTGTCATGAAAATAAGTGACCACCAAAAACAAGAAAGCCAGAAAATATGTTTAGCTTGATGTAATAGTATAAATAGCTACATCCCATAAAATACATTCGAACTGCCATAATTAACATGATTAATTTAATCCAATATTTACTTGTGCGTAGTCCCACGAATGAAACCATTTATATCAATAAATCAAAATTACTGCCTCTCTCTGATCATGTTCTGTTATTTGTACAGTACAGTAGGCTACAGTAAATACACAACCACACGTATGACCCCTTGCATAGATGGTCTAATATTCCTTTTCGTCTTCTCTTTACTGCCATCTTCTGGATTGAACAGACAGCTTATCATTCCTGCAATTAAATTGTTAAATGATAATTGATTAAAACATTTTTGTGTGTGTCCATGATTGAGCTTCCTTTATCCTTTTTTTCACATAGCTAATGATATTTACCCGCAAATTTCAAAAGTTACGATCAATAGGGTACAGCAATAGGGTGATCAAAATGATTGCGTTCCCTTTAAATCCTGATACGTATGGGCGTTTGATCGGCGCGCACGCGCTCGCTGCGGCGTATTTGATTGTTTGCAGACTTTCTAACGAAGAACAGCGGAAAACGTTAACTGTTTAGAAAAATGACATTAATATTCCCATTATGTACGATTAATGACGTTTATTTCAAGAAAATGTAAGCTATGACCTGTCTAAACACATATTTTAAGAGCCTATAACAAAATATGACTGACTAACGTTACACCGATATGGGTAATCATAAATCAAGTAATGTTATTGCTGTTCGCATAGCCATTATTAGTGTCATTAGTAATCCCATCATAAGTTAAAAAGTCTCTTAGTGTGTTGCTCTTCTTTTTTTGACTCAACACGCACAGAGCACACAAGAATGAGGACTTACCTAGCTTAAGATATTTGTTTATTTATTTGCTTGTTTGTTTATTTTGGACTGGAGTTGTGAATGCAATGTTTATAATTTACTTTTCTGTACTCTTTCAGCTGAAGTATTGTCTCTGACAAGTCCTCCAGATATGAATATGTGGCTATTACAGGTTAGAGAACTGCTTATTTTTATTTATTTATTTCTACTTACTTTATGAGATGTGAGTGAAGAGTCTTAGCGTTGCAAATAGTTTTGTATTCTCCAACTATTTTAAATCAGAGTCCAGCTGTGAATTTCTCTGTAACAACAGTAAAACTTTGTAATTTCATGTAGGCTAAATAGTTTTCTCAGAGCAAGTAAAACAGCGAATTTCTGCTCAGGGACGGTCTAGGACTTATAAAGTCATTTTCTAAGTTACTGTCATAGGTTTGAACAGTTGTGATGCTTTGTTGTGTCGTCAGTTTCAAGCTGTTCAAACAGCCTAAACCATTTAGTTGCCTGTCTTTCTAAAATGTCGTTATCACACTATGAATGTTGTAGTTTTATTTTTGTTATTTTTAAAATGTTGTGGTAATGGATGCATTTAAATCCCAAAGCCTAAATCTTGTAACTTATTTTTCATAATTAAATTAAATTTATCAGTATGCCATGCTTTAAAGTGACTTAGGGGACCAGCAGGGACAAACTGAGGTTACATCATGCACACTTTCAACTGCAGTTCAAGATGGAAATATGTGACTGACTGAGCAGATTTAAACTACTGAAATATGTGTGATGTCTCTATCTGTCTCTCTATCCATCCTTTATCATAAAATGTTAGAATAAAATGTTAAAATAAGTAAAAACAACAACAACAACAAAATTATCATTGAATTATTCATTTAGATTTTGGCTGTCTTCAGTACGTATTCAATCAATTGCTATCCTTTAAACAGCCAAAGATAGTCAAACTAGGTCCATGTTAGGTAACACTGCACTGCTGTAGCCAATAAACCAGAGATTGGAAAAATTCCCAGCTTTGCTCCACAATACAAATATTGTGCTCATATTAATCACTGGCCTATTCACTGCAGTTCAGCTGGATGATGCTGTAATGCGAAGTGTTACAAGTAATTAAATCACAAGTGCGCTCCGACAATAAAGGATGCATTCTCAAAGAACAGCTGTGACTGACACCAGCTTTATCTGCTGTCGGGTCACCGTGGGAACGCAGGTATACCTATTAAATTCGTACAGAGACTGCAGAAGCAGACAGGGGTTTCCATAGAGACCACAGGAGGCCAAGTCCACAATAATCATCCCCAAACTATCTTTACACCCTGCGGCTAAACATTCCCTTAAACTTCCCAGCCATTAATGACGCGAATGATAGATA